GCATCATATATATATATATATATATATAAGGAGGGATCCGTTTATTCTAAGAGTAAGTCTACTTATATTTACTTCATTCAATAACTCGTGCTTTATATTAAATTTCAACAATTCAACCGTTGAATTTAAGTTCTTAATACATAAATTAAATCTGTAAATTAAAAAAAAACTGAAAACTATTTGATAATTCATTTCATTAATTCAAATCAATGTATAAAATAATTTTATAATTATCCATTAATTTGAATTAATGAAATAAAGTATCAAATAATTTTTAGATTTTTTTTTAAATTTACAAACTTGATTTATGCATTAAGAATTTTTAAATATAATAGTTGGATTAATACAATTTTATTTTATATACTTCATATTCTATTCAAATTAATCTTAATTTTTAAAAAATATCCCGATCGAAAAGTGAATTAGATAAGAACAATCTTTTGAATGTCTATAGGCTCTTTGGTAAAGTAGAATTTAATATTTATTAAAGTGAAGTTATTTTGGAATTTATTCCTACTTAAAAATGATATTTTAAACATTGATTCAGTCTTTAAGTTAGTGGATTAGGATCAAATTTGTAATCATTAATTAAATAATTTTTATTAAATATTTTAAAAATACATTTATGTCATTTATATTTTATATTTTTAAATTTCAATAAAAATCATACCATATTTTAAAGATGTTTTAAAAAAATTGTATGACTAATATAATACTAACAAAATAATTAAATTTTATACTAATTAAATCGTATAAATTAATATAATTAAATATATAGTTTTAAATTAAATTATATTAAATTATTTAAGTCAACTAATATTTTATATAAAATATTAAATAATACATATACTACATAATTAATTTAAGTCAAGCTATGACAACTTGTAAAATTAGTTCATTGGTTTGGTAACTAATTAGCTTCTAAATGTTCAAACTAATATGGCCTTGATCCTCACATCCATTAAAAGTTTTACTATTTTTTTGAAATCTTATAATACATGTGATGGACGTCGGAAAGCAAGTGTGACGCGTTGACATGGAAAAGACACGACGCACGATAATTCATTTCATTAATTCAAATCAATGTATAAAATAATTTTATAATTATCCATTAATTTGAATTAATGAAATAAAGTATCAAATAATTTTTAGATTTTTTTTTAAATTTACAAACTTGATTTATGCATTAAGAATTTTTAAATTTAGCTACCGATTTTAATTTGGTCGCTAAAATTATTATAAAGAATATTTTTTTTTTATTTTTTTAACGACCAATTTTAATTTGGTTGCTAAAATCATTATAAATAAGAATATTTTATTTTTTTAGCGACCGATTTGAATTTGGTAGCTAAATTTATTATAAATAATATTTTTTTTTATTTTTTTAGCGACCGAAACTATTCCGTCGCTATTTTAATCAACAATTATTATTTTAGCGACCGATTTAGCGACCGATTTTTTGCTACTAAAAATTTTGGCCGCTAAATAAAATTTGCAACTAAATCAAATTCGGTCGCTAATTATGTCTCTATTAGTGACGGAAAAAAATCGGTCGCTAATTCTGGTGGCTAAATTGACTTTTTTTTGTAGTGATTTGCATTTTATTTACTCTTAAATACCCATTTGCAACCTATAGCTTTGCATCCAATAGGTAGATCAACTAAATTCCATGTGTTATTACTAAATAATGCTTCATATTCATCTTTCATTGCATGACACCATTCAAGTTTAGACAAAGCTTCTTTCACTAATATGGACTCAATTGTATGATCTTAAGTTGATTTTTCAATAGCTACAACATAGGTTTTTGGCTTAAAAAATCCAACCTTAACTCTAGTAGTCATAGGATGTGTATTGACTGTACTTTGCTTAGTCATTCCTACATCAATAATAATACTAGGGCAGAAACAATGGGATCCATAATGTCAGTTTCTAATGTCACATCATCATTGGTAATATTAGTAGCACTAGCAAGATTACAATTATCAATTGGACCATTCTCATCAAGAGGAACTAAAACACAAAGGTGAGGACTAATGAAAGAACATTCAGAATCAGAAATAGATGAACCAGTGAAATGATTATGATTGTTTTAGTATGGAAAAAGAATTGAATTTGACATGTCTAGAAACATAACATTTAACAATAGGAGATAAGCATTTATAGCTTTTATGTTGATTACTATAACCAAGAAAAAGGCATAAGTGAGATCTATATTCTAACTTGTGTTTGTTGTAAGGTCGCAAAAGAGGATAACATGCACAATCAAAGATCTTTAGGAATTAATAATTAGGAGGTGTTTGGAAAAGAGTTTGATAGGACTCAAGTTGTGCAATGAAGGAGTAGGTAAGTAGTTGATCGATAAATGTAGTAGCAGTTAAAAAAGCCTCTCCCAAAAAATGAAGAGGTAAGGAAGCATTAGCAAGCAAAGTTAATCTGATTCTTGTAATATGCCTATATATGCTTCCTCTCAGGATTGCCATTTTGTTCATGTGTGTGGACAGGAAAATCTATGGTTAATTCCATGGTCTGTTAGATACTTAGTAAATTTAATGTATTCTTTAGCATTATTTGACTAAAGTGCTTTAAGTTTTGTGCCTAACTGAAGCTCAGCAGAAGTTTAATTTAAATTGTAAAAAAGCCTCAAAAGCTTGAGATTTGGCATTTAAAGGATAAATCCAGGAATACCTAGAATAAGCATCCAAAAAGATAATATAGTATCTAACACCAGAAGAAGGTACAGGAGAGGGGCCCTAAATGTCATTGAAAACATGTTCAAGAGTTCTTTTATATTCAATAATGGATTGTACAAATGGTAGTTGATGGGCTTTACCCATACAACATGAATCACACAAAAAGGAATTAGGAAAATGACTACTAGGTATATTACAATATTTTAAATCCAATTTCACAATTCTAAGAAAGGGATGTCCAAGCCTTGAATGCCAAAGCTGGAAGAGAGAATGACTAGAATCCTTCTGAACTTGATGAGCAGAAATAGAGTGAACTTTTTGAAGGTGAGGAAAGACATACAAGTCGTCCTTAAGCTGCCCTTGGAGGATTATGTCATTGGTATCCTGAGTTTTCACATTATAAAAGTTAGGATAAAATTAAAAAAAAAAAAAAAACTCTATTATCTTGGGCAAACTAAGAAACACTAAGCAAATTTTTAGTTATGGATGGGACATGAAGCAAATTATGCAAAACAAAGTGTTAAGATGACATAGGATTACGAAAATAAGAATGGCCAACATGCTTAATATGTAAACCTGTACCATTACTAATATTAACAAAATCAACTCTAGTGTAAGCATTTTTTAAGGATAGATTAGACTCATCATGAGTAATATGATGAGATGCACTCGAATTGAGGTACCAGAGAGAATCTATCACAATGGAAAGAGTTGTAAGAATAGTGATATTAGAAAAATCATGTCCATAGGATTGAAACTGAGTGCTACGGGCTTGAGGATTACTCAGATACTCTTGATTGTACCTATTCTAGCAATCAAGAGCAACATGGCCAATTTTTCCACAAATCTAACAAGAAGGTCTTTGATTCCATGAATTATGGGTTTGATTCCAATTGTTTTGGCCAATTTAAGTCCAATTTGATCATCCATTGCCTCTACCCATGTTAAACCTGTCTCTATTGTTCCAATTGCCACCTCAATTATTGAATCTTCCACCACGATATCCTCCTCGTGCATTGGAATCAGATCTACCACGACCTTGATTTGAGTTCTGCCATTGATTGGGACCAGATACAATATTAGCATGAATCAAAGGGGTTTTTGAATGCTTTCTCTTCTCAACTTTTTCTTCTTGAGCAAGTAATAAGGCCTCTATTTCATCAATGGTATATGGATCAAGTCTAGATGTTATGGAAGTAACAAAACCATCAAAAACATCTGACAAACCATCCAGAATCGTGTCAATATGATCTTCATCAGTAATCAGAGCCAACCACAGCAAGAGAATCAACAATTTTCTTAACTTCTAAGAGATATTCATTAATACCTTAATCTTTCTTGATCATCCAAAGCTATAATTTTAGTTTCTTGATAACAGCTCGAGTGTGTGTAGCATAATATACCTCTAACCGCTTCCAAATGTGATTAATAGAATTCAATCCCACCATTTTTGTCAAGATTGGTGATGACATCGATGTCAAGAGCCACACAACAAGTAATTGATCTTGTTGAACATAGTTGGTGTATTTAGGATTCTCTTTCTTCACGATTTCATCTTCTTTATTGGCATAACATGGTGGAATTTTATTGCCATGAACAAAACTCTCAAGTTTTAACCCTTGAATTGTCGCAAGAACTTGTTGTTGCCAAATTAAGAAATTATCATTGTCCAATTTGATAGTAATTGGCATATTGAACGTCTGACGTGCGAATGGAGATGTAGAAGTCATGGTTGATGTCACCGTGGTTTTGATATCATATTAGAGTTTAGTCATAGATGAGAAAAAGGTAAAGAGAAAACAAAGAAAAGTATTTTTGTATTATTGATATTGAATAGAATGAATTACAAATAGAGGGATAGAGATCTTACATATATAAATGTAGTTACAATAGCTAAAAGAGAAAAACTAATACAGCTGTACATTAATTACTAATCTAAAACCAAATCATAATAGGTTGTATCTTAGTTTATTAGTTACCTTTCCACTCTGGAAATGAACCAAATTAAGAAGCAAAGATTAATAAAATACTATTCTCTCTTCTACGATGATTTCTTTATAATAGAATCTTCAATTTGCTCATTCAGATAAATTGAATACATGATATTTCATCAAGAAAAGATAAAAGAAAAAAAAATTATTGTTCATAGCTTATGACGCAACTTTAAGTTTAGGAACCAGTATAAATGTTAGTGAGACGTGCACCTCGTTTAGTAGCCGGAAATGGTAGGTGGAGGGGGTGAAGCATAAGAAGAGCCAAAGTTAGGGGGAAGGAGAATATCTTGTGTAGGAGGTGGTGGAGAGTGCACTGGTGGTGGTGGAGAGTACACAGGAGGTGGTGGAGAGTACACAGGAGGTGGTGGAGAGTGAACTGGTGGTGGAGGAGATTGAACCGGTGGTGGTGGAGAGTGAACCGGTGGAGGAGGAGACTGAACAGGTGGTGGTGGGGAGTGAACTGGTGGAGGAGGAGACAGAACAGGTGGTGGTGGAGAATGAACCGGTGGAGGAGGAGATTGAACTGGTGGTGGTGGAGAGTGAACCGGTGGAGGAGGAGATTGAACTGGTGGTGGTGGAGAGTGAACCGGTGGAGGAGGAGATTGAACTGGTGGTGGTGGAGGAGATTGAACAGGTGGTGGTGGTGGAGATCTTTGTCGTGTTCGGGGTGATTCCTCGTGAGGATCATCCTCTGGTGGTGTAGGTGGTTGTGGCTTTGGTGTTGAAGGTTGTGGCTTAGGTGTTGGAGGAGTAGTAGGTTGAGCTGGTGGTGTTTGCTTCTGAGGTTGTGGAGGATTCGAAGATTTTGGCACAGATGGAGAGGGGCTATTACCACCTCCACATTGCGCTTTGCTACAATCCACAGGATTGCTTAACACCTCATTGCAATCGTCTAAATCCTTTTGCTTTGGTCTATCGGGTATGCAGTTTTTCTCATCATCAAACACAAAATCTTTGTCTTTCTTAGAAGGAACACAACCTTGTTCCTCAGTGTCGAAGAAGTTATTAGAGAACGTGAAGTTGACCAACTTGGGCAAGCTACACACTTTTTGTGGGATGACACCAGTGAGCTTGTTGTGCGCAATGGAAAACTGCTCCACGCTTTGAAGCTCGTTAAAGGTCTCTGGCAACACGCCAACGAAGTTGTTCCCGCTGATGTCAAACACAGAAACTTGTTTCAGCTTTCCAATGTCCGCGGGTAAGCAACCACTGAGGTTGTTGTTGATCAAAACAAACTCGTTCAACGTCTTTGTCATGTCGCCAACGCTCGAAGGAACGCATCCTGTTAGATCGTTGTTTGCCAAAACCACAACCGAAGCTGGAGAAGATCCCAAGTTCTGAGGAATTGTGGAGGTGAATCTATTGTTGTTCAAAAAGATAGCATCTAGGGTTTTGTTGAAAAGCTCCGAAGGCAATGTCCCTTCGAATTCGTTGAACCGGATGTCAAGGAATTTAAGGTCTGGAATTGAAAGCACGGGCTCTGGGAATGTCCCAACAAAACGGTTGTTGCTGATGTCTAACTCATACAATAGCTTTAGCTTTGAAAAGCTCTTTGGGAGAATCCCACAAAACCTGTTCGAGTTTATATGCAAAAGTGCAAGGTCGGTTAACAAACCAAATTCAGAGGGAATGTAACCTGCGATGTCTGCATGGTTAAGATCAATCCCAGCCACAACATCGACCTTTATGTCATCTAGGGCCTTTTGACAATAAACTCCTTTGTAGGAGCAAACTTTTGGGCCCACCCAATCCCCTGTGGCATTTGATGGGTCTGAGTAGATTGCTTTTTTCCATGCCTCGAGTGCAATGTATGCACGTTTGAGTCTAGGATTGGAGAAGGTTAGATTTGTTTGATAGTTATCTACGTAGTTGTCCGGTAAATCCTCATTCTCATGCAAGTGTAGCAATTGGCGACGAGCTATTAAAGAGGCTTCAACGTTCGAAAGTGCGTAGGAGGTACATGATGATGAGAGGAGGAATAAGGAAAGCAATAGAAAGAAGCTTGAGGTCATTTTGTGTGTGATGCTACCTTGGAAAATAATGTTTAGAAATGGTTATATGGAGAGGCAGAGAAGGTTGCACTAAGGACTATATGAGAGGCATTGCTATGATTTCTGAACCCGTAATAGAAATGTGCTTTATACAAACTTCCATGCCGTAAAAATAGATGGTGCTTCTCAATCTCTTGTGAGTTCTAATGGTTTTAATTTTAGATATGTTTGTTTCAACCGTGGTTTAATTAGGCAAAGTTGCAAAGCTTCTTTTCCTAAATTTGTGCTTCATATAATGGTAGACCGAAGTCAACAACAACTACGTATGGTTAATATCTATCTATGCAGAAAACCAATACATTTTCTTTCGGTTCATTCATATAGTTTAATTTTTCTATCTTTGGATTCATATAACTATTTTCCCCCTTTCCGCTAACAAGTTATTGAGTGATATCATTCCAATTAGGCATGGCAACGGGGCGGGGCGGGTTTTACGTTCCTCGTCCTCACTCCCGCAAATTTAAACTGTCTCTGCCCTTGCCCCCGATACCTGCCGAAATAAAATCTGGGTCCTCATTCCTGTTTCTAGCGGGTTCGGGTTTCTCCACCCCGCTCCCGCCCCCGTTCCTATTTTTTTTCTTTTAAATAAATATGAACAATTTAAATAAAAATAAAAGAAAAATAAAATAATATAAATTTTTATATATAAATATTTATAATTTTGGTTTATATATATAAAAATAATTTTTTAATGGGGGCGGGGGCGGGGTGCGTATTAACATCCTCGCCCCTGCCCCCGCCCCCGATTTTATCAATCGGGAAAACCTGAACCCGATAAACACGGGTTTTCCCCATCTAAATCGAGACGAGTTCGGGCGAGTACCCACGAGGGCGGGTTAGATTACCATGCCTAATTCTAATGTATATTTCAATCACTTTATTAATTATAACTTATTTTTATAATATTTCATTCCTCTTTTACTTAATTTCTCATATATATATATATATATATATATATATATATATATATATATATATATATGTGTGTGTGTATACATGTACATAT